TTATTATTTATTATAATAAGAATAATATATCATTAATTATATTATAATGAGAGAATAGTTAAACATATGTATCGATACATTTTCTAAAAGTATCGACACATATGTTACATCGAAACCGATAATTACAATGTAATAGGTAAATTTACAATGTAACTGGTATACAACAATAACAAAACCGGTAAATATTACTGAAAACATCATTATTTTAACAAAACCGGTAAAGCGCTACCAGTTTTGTTATTTTTTACCGGTTTTGTTATTGTTGGGCATTTTACCGGAAATATTAAAAAATATTGATGTTTTAAGTAGAAATAATAATGTTTTAGGTAATTGTTATCGGTTTTGTTATGCCCAACAATAACAAAACCGGTAAAAATAGACTTTTTAATGATAAAATTAGTAAACACAAATTATACAAATTAATTTTAATTTTTTAGTTTGTAAGTTGCTACAATATAACTAATGAATAAAATGACACGATATTTCTATTTCGATATTAGCTTTCTAATAATAAAAAAATTATATATAATTACAATATAATTTTTAAAAAATAATCATAATGAAGTGATGAAAAATAATCATAATTACAATATAATTATAATCATCAAATGCAATAAAATAATATTATTTATTAACAAAATAATAATATTATTTTTAAAATATTAGAATAATTTATTTAATATTATTTATGTCAATATTATTATTAAAATATTATATCTATAATTTTATAAATAAAAAATTAGGATTATTATATTTTATTAAAATAAAATTATTATAAATTATATTTATTATTTATTATAATAAGAATAATATATCATTAATTATATTATAATGAGAGAATAGTTAAACATATGTGTCGATACATTTTTTAAAAGTATCGACATATATGTTACATCGAAACCGATAATTATAATGTAATAGGTAAATTTAAAATGTAACCGGTATAAATATACCGGTTTTATAAGAGAATATGTCAACATAATGTATCGAAACAAATTTAAAAAGTGTCGATACATTTTGTCCAAAATGAATGCCAAACGAGGTGCACGCATAAAGTGTCGATACATTTATTAAAAGTATCGATACATTTATTAAAAGTATCGATCCCAAAAACATCGAAACCGATAATTACAATGTAATAGGTAAATTTACAATGTACCCGGTATAAATATATCGATTTTATGAGAAAATATGTCTACATAATGTATCGACACGTTTTAAGTTTGTGTCGATACTTTTTTCCAGAATGAATGCCCAACGAGGTGCACGCATAAAGTGTCGATACATTTAAAATTGTATCGATCCCAAAAACATCGAAACCGATAATTATAATGTAATAGGTAAATTTGTAATGTTACCGGTATAAATATACCGGTTTAGTTAGAAAATATGTCAATATAGACGCTATATATTACATTATATAAGCGCTACCTAATATGTTATTGTACTTGATAATATTTCTGGTTAAATACATATTTTATTATATAAGCGTTACCTATTACATTATATAAACGCTACCTAATATGTTATTGTACTTGATAATATTTCCAGTTAAATACCTATTTTATTATATAAGCGCTACCTATTACATTATATAAGCGCTACCTAATATGTTATTGTTTGATAATATTTCCGGTTAAATACCTATTTTATTATATAAGCGCTACCTAATATATTATATAAGCGTTATCTAATATGTTATTGTACTTGATAATATTTTCGATTAAATACCTAATACATTATATAAGCGCTACCTAATACATTATATAAGCGTTATCTAATATGTTATTGTACTTGATAATATTTTCGGTTAAATGATATAACATAACCAGTGTAAATTTTAACCGGTCACTTGTTAAACGGTCACACTATTTTTTAACCGCCGCACAAAAGAACTTCCCGTGAATATGGGATTCAGACCAACAGCCGTATGTGATAACCAAACAACTTCCCCAGCAGAATTAAGATCTAAAGAGTATATAACCATCTTGAAAAGTTTATTATGGCATTAAATATAGATTAGATTTCTACTAGCTGCAATTTTATTTTTTAAATTAATTTGAAGTATAAATAAAAAAAATACTAATTTCAATGAATAATAACTAAAAACACTACTGATTTGTCAGGAAGACTCTTCCGGGCTAAAAGAAATTTAAAAAATCTGTGAGTCGTGACATATAGGAGTTCTAGGAGAAAAGATCTGATATCTATGAACCTGATTTAATGGGTATCAAAACATTGGAATTTGGTCTCGTGGTATGATTCTTACTTTGGGCGTGAAAGGTCCCGAATTCAATTCTCAGAATGCCCCGATTCCTCCCCTCCTATTTGGTTCACTATACTATATTACATCCTAAAATATTTTATTGGAGGAATTTGCACTGAAGTCAACTCTAAAAGAAAAGTACAAAACTTTATAGATTTTGGAATGATCCGTTTTCTAATAAATCATAAAATCTAAATGCAAAAATAAATAAATTAAGTTTTATGGATAATTTTTGCAAGCTGACCTCGTACCTGGAATAATTGTCATTATATAATGGAATGGTGCGTAATTTTTCTAGCATCAGGAAACATTAGATCTCTCATAACCTGTCAAAGAAAATGTAGCGCATCGAAAGTTAATACGAAGTTTCACAAAATTGTTAGTAAAAAATTAAATATGATAAAAATCAATATGCAGAACTTGGTCCAGTGATATGATTCTCATATAGGGTACGAGAGGTCTGGGTTATATGATTAGAGAACGTGTATTGAGTCAACTCTGAAAGTAGAATAATATAAAAGCTTAACTCGAGATGGGTTTGTTTTCTAACAAGATTCCTTCGCAGTAAGTAAAAATAAATAAATTGTGATACTTTCCAAAAGTAAATTTGTGTGCCTCTAATCTTATAGTCATTGAAAAATCCGATATTCGCAACAAATAAACGAACTTCCAAGCTATACTAGCTGGGGCTAGCAGTCGTATGGCCACAATATCAACTCCTTTTAGCTTGTTCCGAAGGTGGGGCTCAGTCCTCCATCTTTATGCAAAAAGACTTTGCCATTCAGTTTGCAATGCAGAGTCCCCAAAAGAGAAGGTTAGAGGGGCACGACAATGATTGAGCAGTCACTAATTGCCTAATTGTCCAACAGGATCTTCCTTACACCATTCCATGCAACATTCAACTCGCCAGCAACAAAGCTTATAGCCATATAAACATCCAAATTTATCATATATTGAAGAAAAGAGGTAATGACTGAAAAGAAATCATGTTAAACATCAAACATTGGGTATTTCAGCTAGTGGTATAATTCCACTAGCAATCAACTTGCAAACAAGTTAGCGAAGAGAATCCAATCCAAATTTACAGTGTATTAAACATCAATATTTATCACATTCTTGAAGAAAAGAGCTAATGACTGACAAGAAATCATGTTAGACATCAAACATTGGGCATTTCAGCTACTAGTACCATTCCACAAGCATTCAACTTGCAAACAAGTTAGCGGATAGAATCCAATCCAAATTTACAGTGTATTAAACATCAATATTTGAACATGTAATCCAGTTGTACGATTCTCTCTTCGAGTATGAGAGGTACCAAGTTCAATTCCCTAAATGCACCAAACCCTTTCTTTTTTCCATTTCCAGAAATTGCAATTGGAAATAATTGATCATCATAATTTAGTTTCAAGTCAACTTTAAATTAAGGGTATACTGATACATAAATTCATGTCGGCGGGTGGGTGGGATTCCTTTAATCATTTTTCTATCATAATATACAAAATCCAAGAGTTAGCTTAACCGTAGGCTAGGCTCGGAGTGTTGGAAAAAAATCAAAGAATTCTCGTGAAACACTAAAATATATATATTTATAAATTAAGAAATCATCAGTCGAAAAATATCCACTTACCTTGAACAAAAATCACCAGAAATTATTTAATACAACAAATAACACGAGAAGTCGTCAAGCTCCATATCCGCAACTTATAAGCGATTAATTTCAAAGGGTTTTCGCCGACAAGGAAAGGGAGTCAAGTGGAAAGAAGGAAGACTAGGCCACTACTCAATTCCCAAAATGGGGTCGCTAACACAAATCAATCAGGTTTTTGTTTAGTCTTTTGGGTTCAAAATAATTTAATATATATTATTATTATATTAACAAACATTAAAGTAACTAATTCCGCCGCCATCCTCTCTCACAAATTAATTGTTAAAAAATTAGATTTATTCTATAAATTAATATCCGAATTTAATATTTTTTTCTTAAATTAATATTAAAGCTCACTTTAAAAAATGCTTGAAATTGACAAATATCTATTAAGTGAATGGTAGAAGATTTTAATATTTATGTAAATTTTTTTATTTTCCTCTTAACGTACTAAATTAAATTAAATCTAATCATTTTTTAAAATAATAGGAGGTATTTAATAGGGGACTTGGTGCATCACCCTAATAAGTATCTTACCCTATTTTCATTAATTTTTTGAAGTGCAAATTAATGTATATTTCACACAGATGACAAGTAGAGATGGATAGAAGGAATATTGAGTTGTGTTTATATTACTATTTTAAATTTTTATATAATTTAATTATTTTATTTATATTTTTTAATGATCTAATTTTATATCTCCCCAAAATATATGATTTTAAATCTCTTAAATTTTTAATATAACTTATACGTTTGTCTTTATTAACAAGTATGAATTATTATTATTATTATTAAAATGATAATTATTTATTTTACATTAAATTTATATCTAAATTTAAAAAATATTATTATATTAATACTGAAATTTAATTTTTTTCTCAATTCCACACTTAAGGTTGACAAATATTAAATAAATCGGTGCCTTAAACCCTTGTGATATAAAAAAATTAATTATGAAAAAAAAAAGTTTAAAAATGAAGATAATGATGCCAAACATAAACAAAACCCTGTAAGAGACAATAGATTCAATGCCAAAGATATATTTAACCACCATGGACAAAGAAAAAAAGAATCTAATATAATCGATTATAATAAAAAACTAGAAGAAACAATGTAACAGCAACTTCGAGATTTCAAATCCTTGATTTTGAATTCTTCACAAGCCACTCAATAACTGTATCAATGTTGGTAGAGTTCTTGCATGAAATCATGTAGCAACAAACTTTTCTGTTAGTAATGGATTTCAGCTCCCTGTATAGTTAATAACACGAATACGGACACGTTAGGAACGGACGTAAAATTTAATATTAAAAGACTAACTTATAATATTTTAAGAAATTATATAAGTATTTATAATTTTTAGGAGACAATCATCCACTGATCCCATGAGTCCATCCATGAATACAGTTGCTTTTAAGATTTAAAAACAAACAAAGGGTTTCTGAGCTAGACTTACATTTGCTCTGTCAAATCCTCTTTAGACAAGGCTTCCGGTTTGTCGATCTTGTTCCCGAGCACCAACACGGGAATGCCTTTCAACGATGGCTTAGTCAGCAGGTCATGGAGTTCTATTCTCGAGACGGATAGATTGTCGTTATCGGCAGCGTCCACAACATACACAATAGCTGAAGCAGCACGACAATATCTCTCCCATATACTCCGAAACCTTGGTTGGCCACCAATATCCCATAACTTCATTGTCACACTTCCTTTTGTTACTTTCCTCATATTAAACCCTACCTGTAAGCAGAAAAGATGAAAATTTCAAGGAACAAAACCCATTGTCAGAAAGGACTTGTATGTAGGGATTATCATGAATCCGGTTGTGTCGGATTTTTTGTCTACTCTAATTCGACATGAAAATTAAATTCCTCCACCATCATCAAAATTGACTCGGGTTTAGAAGGGTCACATTCGACTCAAAATCTAATCCGATTTTTTAGATAAAAACATACCCGATCCAATTCAAATATATATATATATATATATATATGACATTTTTATTAGGTAAAATAAGGCCCTAATTGAAAAAATAATATAGAACGGAGTTTTATTACAATTATTCCTAAAATAATATAGAGACATATATTATTATGATTATCTCAAACTCAACCAGACTCACCCATAACCCTTCAAGAAAAATCGACCTAATTCAAACATAAATTTTAAAAAAATATAATTCAATTCAATCAGTACTCTTCGAATTCGATTAAAATGTACATCTATAAGTACATGCAAATGACTCAAAACCCAATATTGGTATCTCCCTATGACTTACCGTTGGTATCATATCTTCATTGTATCCATCAGTCTACAAAAATAAGTCTACCTGTTAGAACCAAGCTAAAACAGAGATGAAAAACAAACAAAACAAAAATATTCTCTTACTGCAATGGCATTGACAAGGGATGATTTTCCAGCATTTTGAAGGCCTATTAAAGATAACTCCATTTCTTTCTTGAAAAAGAGGCTACAAGGAAGATAAAGAAAATAAGAATGAAAGTGCAGGAAACTTAATCCAAATTAATGGACTAATATGTTGAAAAGGGGTTAATCATAAACATGCATTAAGAGCTTTTATATCTAGAGATGGACCGAGGAGACCAAACGAGAACAATCGTTTTACTTAAAAATTTCAAAATATCATATGTTTTAGATATTTTCTTTAAAATTTTTATCGATGATCTGTTCTCTCCCTCGTAAAATTTTAAAAATTCAGCCCCTTTATCGTGAAATTTTGCTCGTCCCTAGATGTAACATTCCCAAAGTATACCTAGAATGCATGCAAAAAAAAATACCTATTTGAGCAATTCATGTTTTAATTTATGCAAATCAAATATCACTTTGAATCTAATCTCAAATCACAAGGAAATTGCAATAAACAAGGAAAATAAAATAAAGACTTTCCAGGAAAGCTGGAGGAACCAATTAAGTGAAAACATTAATAAAAAGAATCTCACTTATTAGATTACAACATTAAAATAAACACAAATATTAAAGTTTCAGCTTTAATGCATTTTTTTAAAAAATTTCTAACCAAACAAACAAGCAAAAAGGAAAACTCACCTTCGAAGCCAATTGAGGATGGCTTCTAATAATCCCATATCTTTTTCTTCGTAATTCAAGGAATTAGGGTTTGAAATTTCTAGTCGAAAAAAATATATGTTTAAAAGAATAATAAAATTAGAATTCCTTTTATTCGCTTCTTTCCAGTGATAGAATTCAATTCAAACCCCTCGATGGTTAATTCACGCGCCACAAAATGAGGAGTGGAGAACTTAAGCCGATCCTTAAGCTCCTTTTACAAATTTTGCGATATATACGGGTCAGCATCCACTTCTTTTATCAGTTGGGTTGAGTCAGTTTTTAAAATTCATGTTAAATTATATTACTTAGTTATGAGATGACTTCTTATAAAAAAAGAAGAAGTGTAAAGTACACAAATAGTATTCCAACTATAGGATATTGCTTTATTGAATCCTCTAATTATTAAAAGTGAAAATACGGTCCCCCGATTAAAGGGAATTGCTTTGTTGATTCTCATAACTATTAAAAGTTACAAAATAATCACCCGACTATTCATTATGTTCCAAACTCGTCCTTCTTATTAAAAAATCAGCAATCGTCTGAGCTTGACATTAATATGTTGGTTGAGATATAATAATCGTTTGATGTTATGAGATCATATTTTATCATATTTCAATAAGCATATTACCGTCCAACTCAAACTATCATTAATTTTTTTAACGAAAAAAGACTAGTTATAAACATAATGAAAAAGCGGGTGATCATTTTGTAACTTTTAATAGTCAAGAGACTCAACAAAGCAACCCCTTATAGTCTATTTTATAACTTTTAATAGTTAGGAGACTCAACAAAGCAATATTATATAGTTAGGAGACCATTTGTATATTTACTCCAAAAATATTATGAGAGGTTTTAATATGATCATCGATCTTTTAATTGTATCAATCAAACTAATTAATTATTCAAATAATGTCAATCAAGTCACTTGTCGTTAACATTTAACGGAAATGTTGACGTGGAAATTAAAAATTGGTACAATTATATTTTTGGTCCTCATTATTTACATATTTTATAATTTTGATCATAATTTAATCCATTAACCATATGGTGATATTATAATTTTGAATTAAAATTATAACCAACTTAAATTTATTGAATTGAATTAAAATTAAGATCAAACTAATATAATATTGATACATGCATCACAAGGCTCGTATCAAAGGAAGATAGACCAACTCTTCCAATTGATCAACAAGTCCAAGCCTTGAAAAAGAAGACCAGAACAACAACAGACTTGCAACAACTTTTTGAATGGGATCCAGGTGTTATTTGGTCTATATGTATTCTGGAGATACGACCGAATGTCTTTTAGATTTATAACGGTACTTGAATCATATCAATCCGACGTCAGTAACTAAAGATACGTCAATTTTAGCGAAGACAACCCATGCAAAAATTCCTACATGGGATTAATACAAGATTTTGTGAATATTGCAAATTTTTTATATTTTTATTGATTATTTGTAATATAATTTAATAGAATATGATGCATTATCTTTTATAATTAGATTTATTATTTTATTAGGAATTAATATCGAGTTAAAACATTATTCTTAGTTTATTATTATTTTATTTGAAATTAGGATAGAATCAAAACATTATTTTTATTCATTAGTCATGTTACAACAATGACTCCTCACCTTATATAAATTAGGCTCCTCCCACCATTTTAACCACATATTTTCTTGAATATAATACAACAAGAGTTCATTTTTGCAAGTGTTGATTATCTTGTGCCTTCAAAGCATTCTTCATCATTAAGTTCTTTCAAGCTCTTCGTGAGGGAGATCTTCACACTCTAGTTTGCCTATTCATTGCGATTAAGAGGAGTGGTTAGAACTAATTATCGAGTTTACCTAGTCAATTACGATTAGGAAGGTTCATATGACAATTATCCATCCATCTTCACCATCCCCATTATCATCATCATCATCAAATCACCCACCATCACCATAGTCATCATTCCAATACAATTTCTTCATATCTTTATTTATCTTTTATTCATCCTTTATATTTATATATTTTTTTTGTAAGAAAGTACTTTGTATTATACGAATAACAAAGTAAACACCCCAAAGATCTTGTTAAAAAACCTCCATAATCCTACTTCGGAGGAAAAAGAGTAAACAATGGGGTGTTGCAGTACATATACACATTATAGAACGCAATATCACTGGACGAGAAAGCATGGGACAAACCCCAATCAAACAATTTTAAAGCAAAACAACCATCCTTTATATATATTTGTTAACTATTATTTATCATATTTCAAATATTCATCATCTTGTCTGATTTTCTAATAAATACATTCAAAAGCCCTAAATTGGCATCAAAACCTCTTCTCACGTCAATCTTTTTCTTTGATTGAGTCTAGAACCCCAGGTGTGATTCCTTTAACTACAAGCAATGTTCATCCCTTCACTTCCATCCCCTATCAAATGTGTAAGTAATGAGAACCAAATGTGTAATAATACAAATTTTATTAATCGTCGCGTCAACTCCTCTGTAAAATGATAACAACATGTGACTTGATTGAGATCATTTAAATAGTTAAATGATCTAATTGATAAAATTTAAAGATCGACAGTTAAATTAGAATTCTCCATAATTAAATGGTTGCGAATATAGTTTACCCTTAAATTTAATTGACTTCTTTTTATAATAATTGAATTTATTTATTAATATAGATAAAACAAATAAAAATCACATATATATCAAGTCAATTAAGTCGATCAATTTAGTTATGAATTCTAATGACTAAAAATATGATGTTCCAAAATTTTTCATCAATTAAAAATATTATTGATTAATAAAAAAAATATTATTGATTAATAAATTAGAAACCGTTGTTTATACCCAAAAACAAATATTGATCGATCATCCAAGAATTGATTATAGATATATGGATGTTAGTCTATGTATTAATATCATGGTTGTAGGAAAAATATAGTAAATTAGAATTTAGGTGTATCAAATTGAGGTAAGAAGGACTGAATTGTAAAATAAAAAAGTTTGGGATTGTGATTGAGAACTCAACTTTATGCATAAGGTTTCAAATTCTTCCATCAAATCGAAAAATATTATTGACCGACCAACTTCGACCATCAAAAAATTAAATATCGGATGCTTGAAAGTTTATATCTTGATATCTGAGAAAAATGTAGCAAACTGATTTTTTAAATTTTAAATAATGAATAAAGTACACAAATGATCTTCTAATTATAAGTCGTTATTTTACTGAATTTCTAATTATTAAAAGTTATAAAATAACCCTCTAATTTTATGATATTATTTTTGTTAAGTCTTCCGACTATTAAAAATTATAAAATGATCATTGAACTATTTATATATTTCAAACTCGTCATTTTCTATTAAAATTTTGGCAATCTTTTGAGATAGACGTAAACATGTTGACTAAGATATGATAAAATATGATCTCAAAATCGGTTGAGTTGTATTTTGTGGATCGACTCTCTGATTATATTATGTTATCGAGTCAGTGCTTGAACATTATGTCGTCGAGCCAGTGCTTGAAAGCAATGACGGTACCAATAGACATAATTAAAATATGGTTTTATCATATCCTAGTCAACAAGTTAACATCCAACTCATACGAACATCATTTTTTTTTACTTTTAATAGTCGAGAGACTCAACAAAATAACATTTTATAATTATATAATCATTTTATAAATTTTAATAATCGAAATATTCAACAAAGTAATAACTTACAGTCGAAGCAACATTTGTATACTTTATCTTTAAATAATTTGGTCATTTTAATATTTGGAGTTTGTATTGAAGGGAACGATAACCTTCATAAAGTAAAGAAATTAAATAAGACGTCTTAAAAACAACTGTCAAAAGTGGTATGGGCAGCTGGGAGATTGAGTGAATTTAATTTAATTAAAAGCTAAACACATCTTTATAGTACAAATTGCATAATCAAATTAAATCAAGCAACCAAGCCATGTGATTACGATATTTGTTAAAACTAATTTTTTTTAAAGGAATAAAGTAGCATTTAATCTTTAAATTGTCTTTAAACTTTTTCTTTTAACATAAACTTTTTTATTTTATTAATTCATTCAATAATTTTAGTGATAAAAAGTATTTTTTTAAGAAATTAAGTTCAAAAAACTCTATTTGCAGGATGTATATTGTTAATAAATTAAAACAATGAATAAATATTACATTATAATCACATCATACTATTTAAGACATATATGTGATTTTTTTAATTATTTTAATGATACAACAAAATTTTAGAATAGTGTATTATAAAATATTTTAAAAATATATAAATGCAAAAACTAATATAGATAAAAAATATGAGTCAAATTGGAAAGAAAAAAAACCACTACTCTTAGGGACTAAATATTGTTTTATCCCTTTCTGAAACCAAATTTAAGACGCTTTAGTTAACATATGAGGTGGATCTCTTTTTTGTATTGGAAGGGGGAACTTTTAAAAAACTATGTTAATATTTAAACCAAAATAATTAATGTTGTTAACTCCTTGACTAATTAAACATTATTATAAAAATCAATGATTTAATTATGTCCAATTGAAATATAGAGATTAAATTTGAATTGAATCATAATCGAAGGTCTAAACTACAATTTAGCCCCTGAAAACCAAAGTGGCAATCTGACATACATTTCTTAAAACCCACGCATATTTGTTTTTCCTTTTAAGATGTTCTAACACAGTTTTATTACGAGTAAAACTACATTTTTAATATTTAAATTATTATTTTTATTTAATTTTGGTATTTAAATTTTATTTTTTAAAATTATACTTAATATTTAGTTTAAATTTTATTTTGATGCCTTATTGTTAAATAACTCAATTACAATGTTGACGTATCATCATAAAATAATATCACATCATTATTGAAAAATAAAAAAATATTATATCAATAATTCTATTAATTTTTTAATGATAGAGTACTAAATTGAAATTTAAACTAAACAAATATTGTTTTTTAAAATAAAGTTTAGATACCAAAATAGAACAAAAATAACAATTTAGGTACTAAACATATAGTTTACCCTTTAATTTTTTTAAAGAAAAAATAATTAAAGAAAATTAACAAATATATTTAGATTTGATACTTTATATATTTACGTAATTTATTTGTGAAAATTCTGTTTCGCACTATGAATGGAGATTATTGGTGAAAATAAGTGTGGGAACCATCGTACGGTGTACCCCTAAAAAGGAATAAATAAAGGAAACATCGTGGAAGCAGCATGGAATAAAAAAACCCATGGCTTCGTTTTCAACACTGAATTTTCACTCCACTGTTTCACTGTTTTCCATCGATATCAACGTAGTTAAAGCTTTACGATGATTGTTCGATTCAGCTCCAGGCGAAAATATTAGAGTTATAAACACAATGTTTTCCAGTTGAAGTGCATTTGACATTTGATATATAATTTTGGGAAGGGGAATAATGGGTATCTTGTTTACGGTTGTTGATGGTGTACGTTTCATGGTTTCCACTCTATGGGATTTGCAAGAACTGCGATTCGCCGCCATTTTCGACGACGTCAGCTCTCTAGCTCTCACGCTGCTTGTGGCCGCCGTCTCCTGTTTTATAGCTATGAGGAGTTGAATGAGAAAAAAAGGCTTCAACAATGGCTTCCAACTTTTCTTTTATTTCCTTGTAATTTGATGAAATGAGGGACCCATTTGTTTTCTGCAACTTTCTTGCCAGGCTTTAGATTTTGTAATGACATTTCTAACATCTATGTGAAGACAGTTCCTTGCTGGTTTCTTTTGTTTACTAGTAATCTCCATGAAAGTCGGAAGCTTTCGGACCATCTTCTTGTAGTTTGTTGCAGGAGCTTGATCTTTACTGTATTCAATGGCAGTACGCTCATTCATGAAAAGGGTTGTATTTGGATCAAGTTTGTCCCAATAAATATTATGATTTTTTCAATCGGAGTAAATTGATCTATGGAAGCTTTGATTGGTAACATTTTTACCATCCCAAAAGAATGAAAATGCATACAACTTTAAACTCGTTGCCGCTTTTGAAAGAGCTATCGTAGGATAAGAGCAAGAGCCAATCCTATTCTGGGGATCTTATCTAAAGCTTTCATATCGAATTCGCCGGACATTTTCAAGCTCGAGTTTGGTTCGATTCTATGGATCAAGAGGGCCTGAAGCATCCCCCGGTTGTTTAGTGTTGCTTTCGCTGTTGTTAGTTTATCCACAATGCATGAAACTCCAACCGCAAGGGAATTCTTGTTGTTGGACAACCCCCTTGTGACCTCTGCAACAGCAGAAACCTTCCTCCGTCCGCCGAAATGGCGCACGTATGCTAGTCTTAGAAGGTCACCCTTTTCTGCCCTGAAATTTATACATGAAGATTCAAGCACTGAAATGCCTGCATTAAACCGAGTTATCGAAGTATAAACATACAGAGTTATCGAAGCGTCATGACTCTGGCTAGTGACTGAAAGGCCTGCATTGAACCGCATGAAACTACGAGAAGCGGTTGCATACATCGACTCCATGCCGATTGCAAGGCTTGAAGTACCAACAGTGGTTGAAAGTGTCAAGACAGGGGAATGGTTTAGGCCAACAGACATGGATAAAGCTGCATTTCTAAAGGATCGATGGAAATTGAGGTTGATCTGAAACAAAAACGAAACCAACAATACATTTTTGGTCACAATCATATTTAATGACTCGAAACGTTCGATAACTCATAGAGTCAGTAATCCGGATTACGTGAGCCTTACGCTACTCAAATTGTACTTGGGAAATCTTAATGAAGCATTGATGTTTGTTGATGGCAAAAACTCGGCCCCAAAGGTGAGTGTTGTTGAAATCTGTCATTATAATTTTGATATCAGTTCTCAAAATCTGAAGCTCAGAAGCATATACATTAAGATAAACAAGCACGTACGCTACTCAAATCGTAATTGGCAAATCTTAATGAAGCATTGATGTTTATTGATGGCAAAAACTCAGCCCCAAACGTGAGTGTTGTTGAAATATGTCATTAGAATTTTTTAAATCAGTTCTCAAAATCTGAAGCTCAGAAGCATATACATTAAGATAAACAAGCACGTACACTTGATTTTGTATCAAAATTTATTTGGATATCAAAATTCTTATGCTTATATCTTGCTCCAATGTTTGCAGTCGATCGTCTTCCATGTCTCACTGCCCTTGAAGTTACGATCTGGAAACGGTTATTCAGATTTGTGAGCGTAAACATAATAAACATCATCGGCACGAGATTAATACAGAATTCATAAGAAGTACTATTAACTTAATCACTAAGTAGTCTCTGAATACTATAATTATCAATAATTAGAATCTTTTTCAATATATAACAACGATTTAGTATTAAAGATAGTACCAATAAACACGAATGGATTATGAAAATCAGATCGTAAAGTTTCAGGACATACCACTCCAGTACAACTGTGGGTGGAGATGCTCAGTGACTGATCACGGCAGTAGCCCTTTGTCAGCAAATCTAGAAGAGGAAACAAGAATGCAATCGGCTAATTTACAGTAAGATTCAAAAAGTTAAATAGTGATTGCCCTTTGATCTTGGCCATTGGCAAGAACCCCAAGAAACTATTTTTAGAAACAAGAAACAATAGCTAGAAAATCAGAGAGAACGAACCATTGGCGAACTTCCCAAAATCAGAGAAAAGTCTTGGTCCAGCTGGTTCTTGCTTTTTGTGTCTCTTACTCCTCTTCTTTTTCCTCCGGTGGCTATTGGCCACGATTGCAGAGTCTTGGCCAGCCGCCGTAGATCTCCGAATTCTGGACTTTTCCGGTTCTGTCATCTTGCGGAACTGAAGGTCAACAAAGAAGGATCATGCTTGGAATTTATTAAGAAATTCCATGCTCATTGATGCTGTTAAGTCTACTTTGACCTGAAACGTTTACCTTTCTAACTGCTTTTAGAATAACTGAATTATTCATATATTCAAAGTCTTTAAATACTCGAACCCGTGTCTTTTATAAAAGATTCAATCAACATAATGACTCGATTTTTAATTCACACTTAATTTTAATTATGATAGAATTAATAGTTTTGTTGATCGAAAATGTATGCTAATTTTGTTTATTTTTATTGATTAAAAATGTTAATGGAACATGATTTTTATTTTTTTAAAATAATAAATGTTTTATTGTAAAATAAGCTTTTATGTTATATCGTACTTTTGCATTAGGTGTCTAATTTGGCAAAATCTCGTTGATAGTGCGTTGAAATTTTTTTTTTCACGAAATAGTGGGATCGTCAGATTAATTGCTCAAGTGGTGTCCTCTACAGTACCGGGGGTAGGTCGCCATGCACGCCCAGCGACCTGGTAGGTCGCCATGCATGCCCTGCGACCTACCAGCCAACGACCTCCATGCCCATGCACGCCCATCTCGCCAAAGGAGCACGCCCATGCACGCCCATCCATGCCCTGCTGCATGCTCGCCTGCTCGCGACCTTGCCGGGACTCCATGGCCCCGAGTGTCCCATGCATGAACCGTTCCTTGGTCGCCTCGAGTGCCCCATGCATGAACCGAGCCCCGAGTGCATGGCACGATCTCCCCATGCATGAATCCTTGGTCGCCCCGAGTGCATGGCGACCTCCTTGGTCGCCGGGCGTGCATGGCGACCTAGGAGGTCGCTGGGAGTGCATGGCGACCTATGGTTGGGTTGTGCATGTCCCATGCAGAGCAAGCCACGTCGTAGGTCGCCCGGAAGGCATGGCGACCTACGGCCACACTGTTGATTTCGCCCTATTTCAGCAAATAATGTTGGGATAACGTTATTTCGTGAATTATTTATTTTGAGGGCATTATATCGTGAGTTTAGCCGTCTAATTTTATAGGGGGGAAAACAAAAAGAAAAGAAAAATTCGAAAATTGCTTAATTCTTGAGAAATAAAATAATCATAAGTATCGCATACTTTGATCTTGAGAATTTATTGTTACAGTATAACAATTTGATATAAAAAATTATTTTATTAATAATTGAAGAGAATAGTTTCAAAATAAAATCCGATTTTTAGTAGATTAACAAATTGAAAACAAGTCGAGGTATGTCTGTTTTTCAGAATACAAAATGAGATGGTCAACATACAATAAAACAACTACAGGAATTACGAACTGTACCCTTGCTTGATCATACCACCGAAAATTAGATGAGAAGAAAAGAGTTTTTGAATTTTATTTAATTTAAAAGGTTTACATGATATTTATAAGATGTTACATAGGAGAATAATTGGAAATAATATATTTTGAAATTAAGATCATTAATGAGAATTCGAATAAATTCGAAAGTAAATAATTTATATCATATTTAATCGAATATACATTATAATATTAATATTTAAATTTAAATATATCATAAAATATTCTTTTAATTCATAATATTTAAAAAGGTATGCCAAAATTAAATAAAAATATATAATTCATATTGGGTAAAATATCTACTGACGTCGACATTCGTGTTGTTCACGTCGTGCTAATACTCCCCTAATAGTGGGTAAAAATGTATTATTTTTTAAATGTATTATTTTAATATTTTAAAATTTCAATAACTACTTAATTTTAATTTTTAAGATCAAATGAATTCTTAAATTTTCTAAAAAAATTATTAAACTTATCTACCACTCTAATTGTCATGTTAATAAGACAAACCGAAAAAAATCATTAATATAATTAACCCATTTTTTTATTGAAAACCTATAGACACGTGTCACAATTTGATAATTTTAAAAATTTTATATAAAATTTAAAAAATAATATTATATATATATTAAAAAAGAAAATACATAAATTTCAAAATAACCTCAAAACTTTAAAAATCTTCATTTCAACCCCTAAACCCACACCGACCATCGCCCTTTTCCATCAATGAAGCTCCACCCGATCTCACCTCCCCAAATTGTGACTGATCAATGGTTGATCGACAATGAATCAACGTTTTATACCTGCGAACCCTAGGATGAAAATCGCAATCCCAAGCGATTTTGATGGCCTATCGACGACAACTACGAAACTTATAACTAAGATGATGATAAGAACTACATCGGCAGCGATGATCGTGACTGAAAAGGACAGTGACGGTTGGACACCTTTTGTATATTTAAGCCTTTCATTTATCTTATCATCCACACATTTTCATTGAGTTTGGTGGAATGGACCTCACTTTGGTAGGCTTCTCTTTTTTATCCTCCTAACATTTCCATTTATTTATCGATTTAAAAAAAATATTCGATTAAATATTTATCTTTAATTAAAATAGTTACATTCAATATTTTATTCTTATTTAAGAAGAATTTTAAATTTTTGGCTTGAATTTGCAGACGCCTTTATGCCAAAGCTAGTCTTGGTTTCACATTGATGTTTATTGTTTCATATTTCAGAAGGAATTTTCAGATAAGAAATGAAAATTAGTCAATCACAAAAAAACACACTCATTAATCACGAATCACGAAATTGTAAAAAGCGTTTACATTTACAATTAAACTACAAAAAATAATCATCATTTGCTGATAATCAAAACAAAATAAACAGACAAATCTTTAAAACCAAACGGTTCTGTGTTTCTTTTACTTTTACAAAGTCGATCATCGTCGTCGTCCAACATCCGAAACCTAAATGTTATTCAGCTTCGAGTTTTGCCGACATGAATTAACTTTCGAGCCACCAGCCATTGAAGGGTAGTTTAAAGAAGAAGAGCCATTGTTGTCGTCTTTTGGACGATGCAAACCAAGACCCGACCTTTGCTCGAAAAACTCCACCGTCGGCGGTGGTTGAAACTCCGACCTTGTCCGCCTATGCGACGACCCCTTGACTGATTCCTTCGGTGATTGTCCCATTAACAAGTGGAAACCGCAGCAAGACCCAACGGACATCGATCCGTAACGGAGGGTGGGTTTTTGCTTTCACATGGCATGGATCAAATAAGGACTTAAACCTTCCATGGCTAATGTAACCCCTAGACTTTGCCTATGCCTTACGACAAGTTCTAATGAATTATAGTAAAAAAATTCAAAATGTTCTTCGATAACTTAAATCCATATTATAAATAACATCATTAAAAGCATAGTTAATAACGATAAAATCCAAATGAGTAAATATAAAACTATAAGTGACTGAGTAAAATAAAATATGTCATAATCAGTATTGTATTAAATCAAACATCAGTAGAAAAAGTTGTATAAGTCGTAAAATAAGTATTTCAAAATATAGACACATATCACCGAAAATGAAGGCAGTTCGAAAGATAAAAACATTACAACAAAATATACTGTACGAAATGTGTCGATCCTCCAAGTGTTAGGTCCGGGGTGCCTATCCAAAAGTATATGAAAGAGGAAAAAGTTTGGAAAGTAAGCTAGAGAGCCCAATGTGTTCCAATAGTGCAAGTAAAACTTAATGGGCAACATAATAAAGAAGTAGTTCGGTAAAGATTTAGAAAAGTCTTAGTGAAATTAAATTTTAAAACTCATAATTACACTCCTCCCGTACATCAAAATGCAGTTCCCCATAACAGGATCCATAAGGACTTACCTAAGTTAGCATCTTGGGGCCTGAGAGTCTACTAAAAAAAGTTATTGGGGCCTGAGAGCCTATCCAAGGGTCACCTTAGGTCTGTAAGGAATTACCAGTTTGATCAGAGCTGAACCTCCATACTCTAGAATCATACCCAAATAATATCTCAATAAAACAGTTCACATAGTAAGCAATAATTTTCATGATCCATAAATCGACATAATCATATTTTTCAGTGAAAACAAATAACCAGATAACATATATAAAACAACCATAGTTCATAAATAGTCAACCATTAAATCAGTAAATCATAACATCGAGTTGTTAAAAGATTCAGTAAATTAGTAACTTCGGTAAATCACATTTCAAAACAAATAAAATAATCATATTGTAACACCCTCAATATCGGTTTAGTGACCAAATTGAAATATTTCAGAATTTGTTGGTCAAAGTAAAATAGTTGAATAGTTCAATGATTTATTTGAAAATATTTCCAGAAAGTTGTTAGTAATTATTAAAGGAATTAAAGGGAAAAATGATCATTTGTCATAAAAGTTATTTTTTTTCTCTTTAAGAAGAGATAAACATGTCGGGGGGAAGAGTATCTGGAAAACTCTTCTTCTTCTTGCTTTCTTCTTCTCCAACATGCTGAGCAAAGGTGAGTTTCTATTTAGTTGATTATTTGTAGATTTTATGATTGAGTTTTGATCATTAGGTGATAACTAAGCTTAAGGAAAGCTTAAGTTATCTTAAAGTCAAAAGATGAAGAAGTTACAAAAGATTAAAGAGAAGGAGTTTTTGAATGAAATCTTGAAATAGAGTTGATAAGTTGAATTTAAAGATAAATTTGACTTGTCATCAATCTAATTAACATGTATGAAGTGTTAGAATTGGATTTGTAACATGTTAAAATTTGGGTGTAATTCTTGAATTACATATGGAGAATAGGATTTTGATGTTAAAGAGGTGATTAATGAATAGAAATGAGTTTGAATATGAGTATGTAAGTTAAGAATAAGAAAGGGGATGATATATAAAGTAATTAAGCTGAAAAGAGTGGATTTTCGGGCATAAATTGGAATTCTGGGCTATGTGCATCGATGCACATTCAATGTGCACCGATGCTGTAACACCCCCAACCCGTACCCGACCCGGATACGAGTCCGAGGTGTCACATTGACTTTTCAAACTTTGACTCTTGACAAAATTCAAAGAAAATTTAAAACTTTAATTAAAGTAAAAGCAGTTTATTTACATAACTTGACCACAATAACTAAAATTAATCAGAGCATATTAACTCA